GCAATGACTTGCAACTTTTTAGAGGTGGGGTTGAGTTAGGGCCCACACTGGCCTCAGTCTCAAACTTGCTATGCAGTGGAGGGTGACCTTGAACTCCTGATCCTTCTGCCATCTATTACCCAGCCCCCCACCCACTCCACACACACACAAGTGCTAGGATTTCAGGAGTGTCCCTCACACCCAGCTATTGTGACAATGACCAGAAATACGAATGGAAAAATTAACAAACCCTTCTAAGCTAGGTGCTTCCTTTACGCCTTCATATAAAAGAAACTGTAGGGAAAATAAGTTTCTATTTACAAATAACAAATACAAACACAATGCTTCTAGCAAGATAAATGCTGAAGTTATCTGCTAAACAAAAACACATTTGAGTCAGGCATGGCAGCTCACACCTGTAACCCACCACTCAGAAGGCATGTGAGGCCAGCCTAGACTATAGAGTGAGACTTACCTTACCTCAAAAACAGTAAAGAAAGAAAAAGAAACACAATTTAATTTAATACAAGATACTATTAACATCTAAAACATCTTTTTTGTTATAATAGCTCACAATTGTTCAATGTTTTAATTTTTTTAAAACTAAAATCTCTTTTCCTGGGCAGTAGATTTTTGTAAACTATCAGTAATTTCTTCAAGGTTCTAGAAAAATACCACCAATGTACTTTTGAGTTTCAATTATGTACACCAGCTAAGGCCTCGTAAGATCTGTTTCTTCTCAAGGCCTTATAGTTTCTGAATCTATTCCTATAACACATTTGTTGAAAATTACCTGATTCTCATACCCTAGTTTGGTTGTACAAAACAAACAAGAGAGGGAAAAACAAAACAAAACAACAACAACAACAAAAAAAACCCACTGTTCTTCCAATAGCAATTTTCTTGACCCAAGGGACTGTGTTAGGTGTCTGTTTGCAAATGATCTATGTCCTGTGACATTTTTCTCTTTGTCTTTTTCCTAGGTTTTGTTTTGTTTTGTTTTTTAATTCAAAATTGGTTCAGCCATTCTGAAGGGGGAAACGCTTTGCATCTGTGGTTTCATGTTGTTTCAAGTCACCCCCTCTTCTCCATCTCTCCTTCAATCCCTTCGTTCGGATCCCCAACAGATCTCACCTGGACTACTGCCTCCAGTCTTGTCTCCCTCAAATCCATCCTCCACACAGCTGGCAAAGTGATCTATTTAAGACAAAAAGTGGACCATATCACTCTTCAGCCCTTTAAGAGTTCATCATCAAACTGGAGTCTCATCATTCCTGGCTTTTAAGCTCTTTCGTGAGCAAAGTGGACCAAATTCTCTGCTTTACCTCTCCCCACACCACACCTTACACTGTAAGCTTTAAGGGTACTGCCTTCCACATCTGGACCTTTGTTCACGCAATCACTATACCTGTAGTGGCCTTTCTCACTATTTCTTTGTATGTATGTGCACAGTAGGTACACATCTGTTCACGTGGAGGTTAAAGGACAACCTCTCTGTTATTCCTCAGGAGCCATCCACCTTCTTTTTAAAATCGGTGTCTCACGGCCTAGGGCTCATCCAGGAAATTAGTCAGGCTGGCTCCCCAGTACTGGGATTACAAGTGTGCCACCATGCTCAGCTTTTAAAAACATGGGTTCTGGGAATCAAACTCAGCTCCCCACGCTTGAAGACAAGTACTTTACTGGAAGAGCTATCTCCTCAGCCCCTGTTTCCTGCTTTTCTCTTGACTGGCTGACTCCTCACTTTACAACACCCAGTTCCCTTCTGAATCTGCAGTCTCCCCAAAAAACCACATTTACAGCATCAACCCCTCCTCTCTAGATTTCTTTCCCAACCTCACAATGTACTTCTTATGGATAACAATCACATTTCCCCCCCAAAGGTTCCATAATCTGTACTCAATAGCTGTTAGTTGCATGATACCCAACTTACACAAAAATGTAAGAGACAGCAAACAATGAAATGTATCTTAATCTAAAATATACTAACCAGATGTGTGTGGTGGGCACACCTTTAATCTCAGCACTGGGGAGGCAGAAGCAGGCGGATCTCTTGAGTTCAAGGTTCCAGGCTATTCAGAGCTATAGTGCATACATAGTAAGACCCCGATGCAAAAACAAACAAACAAAAAACCAAACCAAACAAACAATGCTACCCGTTGAGTAATATTTAGAACTTGATTTTCTGTAGTGTTCAGAAGATGCTAAAACCAACGTAAACACAATGGAAGACAGAATTAGCAAACAGTACATTTACCTTTGTGAAAACCAGCATCTTCAATGTTAAGATCCACAAAGCCAAACTGAGCAAACAAACTGGTATCGTGCAGGGTTTCCCAACATGAAGGCCAGAAATCACCAATGACACCACTGGAATTGACCAAGTAAAGCTGCTCTCCAACCCATACCCGCTTCCAATCTGTTTCTCCTGCCGGAATTCCCCACCCCACTCAATGGTAACTCTCTCTTCAGGTGCTCTGGCCACCAACTCTGATCGTTCATATCTCTGTTCTTACTCTCACAGAACACCTACGAGTCCAGGGAGATGGCTGAGTGCTAATGCTGCCTGCTGCCAAGCTTGCCAACCCTGGTTCCATGCTCGGAAACCACACGGAGGAAGAAGAGAACCTACTGTCAAAAACTGTCCTGACTCTCACATGTGAATATGTATGTGTGTGTGTGTGTGTGTGTGCGCGCGCGCGCGCGCGCGTATACACCTAAATTAAGGTAAACAATTTAAAACATCCAAAATCTATCCATTTCTCACCCACCCTTTTCACTTCTACCAACACTCTTTCACTACTGATTTCTGTGTGTCTATACATGTTCCTTATAAAGCTTAAAAAAAAAAAAAGTCAGATTGTTGCTCTATGTTTAAAATTCTTCATTGGTCCCAATTTTAGAGTAAAAAGCAAATCCTTAAAGTGCCTTTCAGGTCCCTCACAGTTTAATTTGCCCAACTCATCTTCCTTTTTAAGACAGGGTATCACTATGTAGCCCTGGCTGGTCTTGAACTCACAGAGGTCCACCTCCTTTTCCCCATTGCCTGGGATTAAGAGTATGCACCATCATACACAGCTGGGATTTGAACCCCAGTCCTTGGCTAGCGTAGGGAGTGCTCTGAACCACTGAGCCCTGTCTCTAGTCCTAGTACATTTCTCCCCTAGTCTTCCTTCAATGCTGACCACCACCCTCCCCACTACTGCTTAAACATGGCAGTACACAGCCCTGCCTTTCCCCCTCTGGCCTTTTCTTCCGTCTCGGTTACACGTCACTCAAATGTAACTCTGAGGATAACATTTCTGATGATCCTATTTTGAAGTGCATCACTCCTAACAACACTCTAACATCCCCTGTGTTTCCTTTCCTGATTTAGTCGCCCTCAGTTTGTTCTACAAAACATATCACACAATTTACCTACTTAGGATACACATGTATATTACCTAACTCTTCCGGGTGCAATGTTTTATGAGGACAGGAATTTTTCTTGAATAATGAACAATAGCCCTTCTCCCCTGACCCAAAAGTGCTCATATATAAGAGGCTTTTTTTTTTTTTTTTTTGGTTTTTCAAGACAGGGTTTCTCTGTGTAGCTTTGCGCCTTTCCTGGGGCTCACTTGGTAGCCCAGGCTAGCCTCGAACCCACAGAGATCCGCCTGGCTCTGCCTCCCGAATGTGTGGGATTAAAGGCGTGCGCCACCACCGCCCAGCAAGAGGCTTTTAAAAAAAAAAAAAAAAAAATTTAAAATCAGGCATGTGGCACACGGCTTCAGCCCCAGTATTCCAGAGGCTGAGCCAGAAGGATCTTAAGACCCACATCAGATAAGTTTGCACAACATAGCAAGACTGTATCTGCAAACAAAGCAACCAACACACAACAAAAGGCTTGTTGAAGGATAATCGTGTAGCCTGCAAACTCACAGCAGGTCCTATTGGAGGGAGCAGCAAAGCCTCTACCACCCAGCAGAGCTCACTTTACACTGGACGCCTTTAAATATGATGAACAAAAGCTCTGCACTGCTGACTGTCAATACGTAAGGAGGAACTCTGGGCCCAACAGAGGGCTAGTAAAGGCAAGTTTTTACCTTCAATTTTACTATATTACTTGGCAAAAAAAAAAAAAAAAGAATGGAGTTCACAGAACAATTTTCTGTACATTTTAAAGCTATGGGAAGAATTGGAGGAGGGGGTTAAATATAATCAACACATGAAAAGCTTTCTAAAAAATTTTTAAAATTTTAATAAATTTAATAAAAGTCAACCAATGGTGCATAGCCCTTAAATGAAGTAACAAGCACAAGGTCAAGGCAGTGTCTAAGGGAAAACACCTCGAAGAACCCAAGCCAAGGAGACAGACAGTCTTTCCGTTCCGAGCAGGCCCTCCCGTCTCCGGCTTTTACAAAGTTTCCTTCCTTCCTTCCTTCTTTCTTTCTTCCCACTCACTCTTTTGTTCTTGCAGAACAAATTCCTGTGCAATCTGCCTGCACAGGATATCCTCAGAAAACACTGGCCTACCCACTAGCACCAAACAAAAAGAAAGTATCTTCCAACAAAAAACGTCCTAATTCTGTCTAAGGTCAGGACCAAGCACAGAGTTAAGGAATCATCTTAGCTGGAAGGCTGGGGAGTGAAAATGTAAAGAAATATGAAGAGAGAAAACTAAAGAACAAAGCAAAAGCAAAGGGAACCAAAGCCTGTGGGTGGAGGACCTGGAGCCTCAGCCATCAGGTCCAGTCTACGCCGCCCGCCGCATCTGCCACCAGTTAAGACAGGCAAGCCCCATGAGTCAGAGGTACTGCGCCCACGTCGATGTCAGTGTGTGGGCTAGAATGTCGAACTTCTCAACAATGCAGGTTCGTTAACTCAGCACGTTAACTAATTCCTTCAGTTAACCCACTGCTATAGTGGTAGACCGTGGAAACAAAGCAGTCAAGGGCCCCAAACTTTACTTACTTGAGTAAAAGACTAGGGAGCAGAAATATTGACAACCAAAAAGAAGTAATCTTTATCTTTTCTACTTGTAGAACACACACACACACACACACACACACACACACACACACACACACACACCAGCAACATACTTAAAATCCAGAATAATAAAACTGAAATACAAATTCAAATTCAGAGGAAATGTGGATATCTAATATTTAGCTTATAAAACACAGTTCTAATATTTATTCAGCCAGGTTTTTTTTTTTATCATTTTCATTATAAATTTGTCAGGTAGTAATTATTTTCTCAAAATGTTTTCATTACTTTATACTACTTAACATTGTTCTACTTTGATTGTATATTGTCTAAGAAGTTAGCAATAATTTTAATACCTCTTTAAAAACTATTTTAGTTGGATATATTATTTGGTAGCTTTCAATTCAGCTTAAGTTTTTCAATAAAGACATGTACATCTAGCATCATTTTATAGATTATTCATGTTCTTCCATTATTTATTAAAAGTTCTCAGGAGTCAGCTCTCAGGAGGCAGAAGCAGGCTAACCTCTGTGAGTTTGAGGCCAGCCTGGTCTACACAGTAAGTTCCAGGCCAGCCAGGGAGACAGTGAGACCTTACGTCAAACAAAACAAGGCTGAGCATGGTGGCACACGCCCTGACTCCGGCGCTGGCAGAGGCAGGCAGATCTCTCCGAGTTCCAGGCCAGCCAAGGTTACATTGTGAGATCCTGCCCCCCAAAACCAAAACCAACCAACCAAGCTAATGAAAGAGTGCAGTAGTATAAAATACCAGAAAAAAGCAAACCATATAAACCAACCTTCACTGACCACAATGGAGGTAAAAGGAGAAGACTAATCCACATTTCATTACTGTTACCTACCTCCACCCCAGTCCAGCCCTCGTCTCTGAACATACCTGCTATGTGGGCCACACGCAACTCTGAGGCATCCCCGCCAGGGCAGGGCAGCAAAGTATCCTGGTCTCTACAGTAACTGGCTGGAGGCAGCTGAACAGGCCCCAGGACCATGCCTTTGGCCGAGCAGCAGCTAAGCTAGACTGTTCTGAATAGAGGAGCCTTAAAATACCACTCTGGCCAGCAATCCATACACGTGGGACATTCACTCCTATACTCAGTGGCCAGAAAGAACAAAGGACAAGTTCAACCCACGGGGCAGGGCGGAGACCTGAGTAAGGGTGGAGCTACTCCAAAAGCTCAGGGGTGGGGGTGGAGATGATACAGAGGCTA